AGAGAATGGGATTGGAATTGGAATTGGGATTGTGATTGGGGTAACCCAAGAGTTGCAGGAGCAGCAGCAGCAGCAGGTCTGCTTCTGTCTCTCAATGGGTGCACAGTGGGGTGTGTGGTGTGTGGCGTGTGGTGTGTGGTGTGAGGTGGGGGGGCACAAATTTCATTTGTAATTTCGTCCAATCTTTTGCTTCAGGCTTAAATAAATGTCAAAGTAAATGTACAATTTTCGATTTCCCACTCAAATTCTTCTCTTCGCTTTTGCTGCTCATTCTAACTGCACTCACAGTGGGCGTGCGCATGTGTGTGCTCTGTGTGTGTGTTCCTCCAGCTTGCTCACTCTCTCGCTCTCTGTGTTTACACTCTCTCTCTGCTGCTGCTGCTGCTGCTGTGTTTTACTTTTTACAATTTCTCTTTCTCAGTCGCGCGTGTGTGTTGGTGTTGGTGTGCATTCCGTTACGTTTAGGGTATCGCTTACATACGATCTTGCTGGTGTCAGTAGTAGCCTGGATTACCGCCGCCCGCAGCGCTGCCACCGCCGCTGGCCGCATAATGCTCGCTCGCATAGTACAGCGCCCGCTGCTGCGCCGCTCGCTGCTGCGCCACTTCCTGCGCCGCCAACGCCGCTTGCTGATGCGCTCGCTGCGCCGCCTCCTGTGCCGCCTGCTGCTGCTGCTGCTGGTGATGATGATGTTGCTGCTGCTGCTGCTGCTGCTGCGACTGCTGCTGCGACTGCAGTGGTGGTGGTAGCGCCGTCGGCTGGTAGTGATGTCGCGGCGATGCCTGCTGATGCGTCGTCGTTAGGGCCAGCGGGAGCGGCAGCTGCTGGGCATGCGGATGCGAATGCTGATGTGTGAGCGGGAGCGGTAGCGGCAGCGCGTGCGGATGAGTGTGCGCCGGCGGCACGGGCGGATGGTGGCGTCGATAGCCGTAGCCGTAGACCAGGCTCAGCGGGCTGAGGGGATTGACTGCCGCTGCCGCGGCCGCTGCTGCTGCTGCTGCTGATGCTGCTGCTGGAGGCGCCGTCGCTGCTGCCGTCAGATGTCGTAGACCCGACGACGACGCCTGCAGTCACAACTAATCTTCGTCGCTGAGCGCCTCGTACTTGGACGACAGCAGAGGCTTCGGCTCGCTGGCCGCTGCTGCTGCTGCCGCTGCCGCTGCAGCGGCCGATGAGACGCTGGCACTGAGGGAGCCGCCTCCCTGTCCGCCGACGCCGACACCGCCACCGCCACCGCCCCCCGGGCCACCCACGCCACCAGGTCCGAGGCCGGCTCCGCCGCCGCCCACCACTAGACTGACGCCCCCGCCCGCGCCCCCAAGCTCGCTCAGGGCGTGCGCCGCCTTGGCTTTGGCGCTCAGGTGGCTGGGCGGCGCTGGCTGGTGCGCCAGCTGCATGGCCTGCGGCGGCGGTGGCAGCCCGCCCGCAGCGCTGGGCACGGTCAATGCACTGAACGGGTAGGTGTAGGTGCTGGCCGCAAAGGCCGGCGGTGGCGGATGGTACGCCGACGGATGGTGGCTGTTGGAGCCAGCACCGCCCGAGCGGCGTCCGCTGCCATCGACCACCTCGTACTGGTTGGGCGTCTTCCGGGACACGCTAATCTCATGCGATGGCGGCTGCTGCTGCTGCTGCTGCTGCTGGGCATCCTTGCTGCGTTGCTGCTGCTGCTGCTGCTGGTGCTCCACGGCTGCCGCGTGGGCCATGTGTGCGGCGTGCGCTGCTGCGGCTGCATGCGACTGGGCCACCAGATCGCCGGGATCATCGTCCGAGCGCACCTCCACGATGCGGTTCTTGGCATAGATGTCGTCGCGCATCACCTCCGCGATGCGATTCTTCACGTAGTTGTCGATGGTCGTCACCGAGCCGCCGGCACCGCCTCCGCCCGGCACACGCTGATCGGGTGGCGGCGGAACGCCAACGCGCCCCACCACCGACCCGGGCCCGGGCAGGAAGTAGTGGCCGGGCTCCACGCCAGCCGCGGCCACCACAGCCGCCTGATGGAGCATCAGCTCGTGGGCGTACTTGCGTGGACTGACCGCCTGCGGCATGCGGATAATGTTGCGTCCATCTTCGGGCGTGTTTGCCCTGCCCCCAGGCGGACCACCGGCTGAGCCTGGACCCACACTGGGTGCTCCGCCAACGGGCATGCCTTGCTGCTGCTGTTGCTGGTGGTGTTGCTGCTGTTGCTGTTGGTGCTGCTGCTGCTGCTGCTGGTGGTGATGCTGCTGCTGCTGCTGCTGCTGCTGTTGCTGCTGCTGCTGCGCCTGATGCTTCGCCTCCTCGGCCTTGTGCTGCATGCGTCGATTCTGCTTCCAGCGATCTGGCGGCAACATCGCCTGCGGCGGACCCTCCATGTAGGTCATAAAGGGCGGCGTGGGTCGCATGTGCGGATTGGAGACGTAATCGTTGGTGATTATCGAATCGGTCAGCTCCCCGAAGGTGATGCTCTTGGTGTGTATCTGCTGTGGACTGGGTGCCGGGCCAGGGCCCTGCGCCTGGGATGTGGGCGTGTGCGGCTGTCCGCGCATCGATCCATGCACGGATCTCGACTGACTCGACTGCTGCTGCTGCTGCTGCTGCTGCTGCTGCTGTGGCGGAGGACCCTGCTGCTGCTGCTGCTGCTGCTGCTGCTGCTGTTGCTGTTGGATCGCAGCGGTGGCTGCGGCAGCGGCTGCCGAGAGGCGCTCCTGATCCAGGTCTATGTTGATGACATTCGGTGACTGGGAGTTCGCTTTGCCATTGTTCTCCGCTGCCAGCTCCAGCGGCTGGCGATGAAATTGCTGTGGATTGGGCAGAAGAAGTTGCTGTTAGTTCGGGACCAAGTTTCTCCCTGAACTTTCAATTGACTTCAGCTTTGGGTTGACTTACGAATGAGGGGCGTGGAAACTCGCGACCCGTGCCACCGGTGGCGTCATTGGTGCGGCTTATCTCGTGCTTGATGATGGCATCGATCAGGCTCTGGGCACTCAGCTGTCCGGGCGTGTCCTCTGTCGGCTGGCTGGCATGTGGCGGCGGACGATAATATCTGCAAATCATAGAAAAGAATGCAATGCCAATTAGCAAACAGATTCACAGTGCTCTCCCCCTGGGTTCTCTCCCTTACTCTCGCTCCCGATCTGGGATGGATCGTGGTGGTCCCGTCTCGGGCACTGGCGCTCGTATGTAATGTCCCGGCGGCGGTGGGCCACCGGGTCCGGGTGCACTGACAACACCGCTGGCGAATATGCGATCCCGCTCCATGCGGCGCTCCCGCTCCTCGGCCACCACGCGCCGTTCCCTGTCCTGCTCGCGGCGCTCTCGCTCCCGCTCCCGCTCCCGCTCTCGCTCTCGTTCGCGCTCTCGTTCGCGCTCGCGCTCCCGTTCGCGCTCTCGCTCGCGATCCCTCTCGCGATGCATTCGCTCCTGGTTCTGCAGCAGCTCCCGGTCCCGCTCGATGGCATGGTTGTGCTGCTGCAGCTGCTGCCGCTGGTCGCGCGCACTGCGCTGCAGGTGCATGGCGTTCATGTGCTGGCGATACTGCTGGTGCTGGACCAACTGCTGCTGGTGCACGGCCACCACTGCGGCCATTTGCTGATGGTGCATGGCCAGGTCGCGGTAGCGCATTTCGTGGTGTGCCGCTGGCGGCACCTGCGAAACGGCCACCGCATGTGGCGGCGGTGCCGGTGGTCCGGCATGTGGATTGCCCGGACCTGGTGCTCCTCCACCGCCGCCCGGCTGCGAGGAGCCCGGCGATTTATCGCCCTTCTGCGAGGGCACCGGCAGCTGCGGCTGCTGCACGGCCACATCCACAAACGAGGCCAAAGCATCGTGGCCAGCTGGCGGAGAGAGATTGGATTGGATTGGATTGGATTAGTGGCTGCAAGCGATGATCGGCTGCGTGGAGCTCACCTGGCGGATACTGATACGGCGTCACGATGTGCATGCGCGGCGGTGCCGCAGGCGATGGTGGCTTGGAGCCCGTGTTGTGGCGCTGTATGACGCCCTGACGCTGCGGCGGTGGCGTGCGATGCGGACTGGGAGTGCTGCAAAGCAGAGATTAGCTACAGTTTCTTCGTCTGTGGAGACACACTCACCTGTTGGCATGATCGGCTGGGGAGGCGCGACTCGAGTACTCGGGCCTGCCGCGCGGCGTTGGCTCCTTGTCGTAGGCAAAGCCGCCGCCGCTGCTGCTGCCCACGCTGTTGCGCGGCGACGGTGACTCCTTGTCCTTGTCGCTGGCGCTGCCACGGGACACATTGCGCTGCTGCTGCTGCTGCCCCTGCATCTGCTGCGAGGTGATGTAGTCGTGCGTCACAATCTGGCGCGTGCTCAGCACCGGTGCCTGCTCCACGACGCTGCCGAAGGGTGAGCGCGCATAGGGCGAGCCCACGCAGACGCCGTAGCCCTGCGGCGGTGGCGCCTGCGGCGAGGACTGCTGCGGCGGTGGCGGCAGCTGCCCGGGCACGGGCCCACCCGGCCCAGAGCCAGGCCCCGCCTGTGCGGGACTGTGGCGCTGCGAGCTCTTGTAGAAATCGTACGCCCGCTTGCTGTCCAGATGATGCTGCGGCAGATGGAGCGGCGTGCCCTGCGTGATGGAGCCATGCTTGCCGCTGTCCGGCGGACACACCACGCCCGGCGGCGTCTGCCGCACCATGCTCTCGAATTTGGGACTGAGCATCGAGGAGGAGGTCGCCGCGTGCACAATTATCTGCTGCTGGGCGCTATTTGCCGGCGTTCCGTGCGTGATGGAGCCGCTCTTGACCAGCAACTGCTGCTGCTGCTGCTGCTGCTGCTGCTGGGAGGGCGAGGCGTGTGAGGGGTGCGCTGGATGGTGCGACGGATGGGGTGGTCCATGTGGTCCGTGCTGGGCATGTGCTGGATGCAAGTGATGCGCCTGCTGCGGACTCAGCTTGGGCTGCACCTTCGAGGACACGCGACCGCTGCTCAGTGGCTGGGACTGATGCTGCGGCTGGGCTGGCGGCGGCGGCTGGCTGGAGCGCGGCGGCATCTGTCCCTGGCCGATGGAGATGGGTACAGGTACGGGTACGGGCTGGACATAGATGGAGCTGCCCGTGCCGGGCCCGGTGCCGGCCAGTGGTCCCACGCCGAGGCCGCCCGTTACCTTGAGCGGGCCGTGCGGCTGCTGGTACATGTAGGAGCCGGCCGTGGCCAGGCTGGGCACGGAGACAGCCTCGCCGCGATACATGGCCGTGGAGCGGACAATGTGCTTCATGGTGCTGGACATGGAGGGCGGCGGCACGAGGTGACGCTCCGAGCCAGCGCCGGGACCACCAGAGCCACCCGATCCGCCAGGTCCCGTGTGGGGCGAGTGACCGTCCCTGTCCCTGTCCCTATCTCTGTCCCTGTCCCTGGGCGTCTTCTTGATGCTCAGATCGAGTGTTTGCGGCTCCGAATCGGACACCTGCTGGCTCGGCGGCGGCACTCCCCGCTGCGGATGGGTGGGTGGCGGCCCATGGCTGGTCGGCACATTGTAGATGATCGTCTCGGGTGGCGGCGGTGCCGAGTGGCTGGACTTGGACCCAGCACCCATTCCGCTCTTCACGACGGGCGTAATGGTGGCCTTGTCCCCGACAGTGGTGGCCACTGGATGGCCTATAAGTCCGGGATGTGTCAGCGGACCCACACCGCCGACGACACCCCCCAAATGGGCAGAGTTCACGACGGAAAGGGTGGCCAGATTGTCGCCGCCGCCGCCGCCGCCGCCGCCGCCGCTGCTGCTGTTGCTGCTGCTGCTGCTGCTGTTGGTGCCGCCGCCATTGCCGCCGCTGCTGCTGCTGCTGCTCAAGGATGAGGGCGGTGGCACAGCCGCTGGACGCGACGGCAGCTTCTGCACGGAGGTGCCATGTGGCAGGCCGCTGGACACCGCCTGCTGCTGCTTGAGTAGAGCCGCATTCCCATCCTGTCGATATTCCCGGACAATGGTCAACTCCTTGCGCTCCAAGTTGTTTGGATGCTGCGAGGGTGGAGGCTGCTGCTGAGCGGATTGCTGTTGCTGCTGGCTGGTTGCCATACCGCCAGCTGTCGAGGATTGCTGCTGCTGCTGCTGCTGCTGCTGCTGCGAGGATTGCTTGCGTTCTGGGACCTTCTTCAGCGATCGCTCTATCACGGAGAAGACACAATCCTGCACATTGTTGACTGCCTCGCGGCGCATGCTGATGGGTCCATTCATGGGTGGCGGCTGCTGCTGCTGCTGCTGCTGTCCGCCAACTGCCATGTTGGGAGCCATGCCAGGCGGCACTCCTCCCATTACCACGCCCACTCCCCCGGCGGCATTTGGTGGCTGCAATCCGCCGACGTTGTTGCTGCCATGACCGTGTCCATGTCCGTGGCCGTGCGCATGGCTGTGCCCGTGCCCGTGGCCATGGGCATGCGGATGTCCGTGTCCGTGTCCGTGACCGTGTCCGTGTACATGTCCGTGTCCGTGTCCGTGGGCATGGGCCGCATTGAACAGCACCTTGGGGCTCTGCCGATTGGCCGGCGAGTTCTCATTCTCCTCGTCAGCCGTCTCCGTGGCCGAGGAGTCGTACTCCTCGCTGGTCTTTTGCTTCTTGGGCGCCTGTCCGGCAGCCGGTGGCAGCAGCCGCTCATTGTCCGCTCCCGATGACTTGGAGCTCATTCGCGTGGGTGTTATGATGAGCGGCAGTTCGGCCATGCCGCGCATCCCCACTGACGAGGGTTTCTGCTGCTGTTGCTGTTGCTGTTGCTGGTGAAGGAGTTGCTGCTGCTGTTGCCGCAGATGCATGAGCTGCTGCTGCTCCTGCTGGTGTGAATCCTGCAGCTGCTGGGGCACTGGTGGCGGTGGCTGTGGCAACTGTATACCCAACTGATGCTGCTGCTGCTGCTGCTGCTGTTGCTGCTTGGTCAGGGTCAAAGGTTTGTGTCGCTGCAGATTCTCGGGACTCTCCACGGAGGCGGTGTCCGAGCCGCCAGGCTCCCGCTCGTCGCAGGACGAGGTGCTGACATCTGTCTCATCGCCGCCGCTGCCCCCACCGCCGGCAGCGTCCGTGAGATTCAGCTGAGGATCGAGCTTACGGCGAATGCGCATGAGGCAGGCGGAGCAGCAGCGCGTGGCATGGGGCGGTATCTGGAACTCGGCCATCACCGGATCCCGCAACTCGGGCGCCAGCTCGAACAGACGCGACGGTATGTTGCGCAGCCGCTGGGCCCGATCCTTGGGATTGGGGCACGTGGACAATGGACAGTTCGGGTAGCGGTTCCGCACCGATTTGCACTGGCAGCTGTTGCACACCCGCGCGCCCGCCGGTATCGACTCATCCGGTATGCCATACTGCTGGCCGCGTCCCTTCTTCAGTGGACGCGTCCTTGGACAAGCCTCCGCCTTGCACACAAAACAGTTGGCCAGTTTATCTACAGAGAGAACAGAGAGAAAAGAGGGTAAGCAAAAGTTATGCAAACACATTACAAAATGCGATTTAATTAAAGGCAAATGGTCAGAAGAGGAGAGCTCGAGGTGGAGTGGTAGTGCCAGTGGGAGTGGGAGTGGGAGAGATGCTTTCATTAAGCCACTTAACAAATAATGAGCAGCAGCAGGCAGCAGGCAGCAGGCAGCCAATTGAATATTTTAAAACGGGGGAGAGAGGAATGAAATGGAAAGAGGAACATGGAGTCACATTGGGATTAATAAATGGCTAAGCGAATAGATGGAAGTGAAAGCTAAGAGTCGATTGCAGACACCAAAGATTGTGTCTGAGCGTAGAAGTTGCGAATCCCAACGCAAAGTGGAAGAGAGAACAGTGGCAAGAGCGCAGCAAGTGGGAAGCAACTGTAATAAGCAAAAAGAGAGCGAGAGCGAGAGCGAGAGCCAGAGCTGGAGAGTGAAACAAATGGGAAACAGAACAGTATTTCAGCTGTTGATCAGAGAGCAAGGGAATTTGGCAATTATTTCCAGGCTAACGTTTGAAATTTCGCAAGAGAAAAATCAATCAAATGTCGCTTACATTTCAATTGGCAACAAGTGCAAGGAAAGTGTAATATTTCGATGTTAGTTAAACAAAACTTAGAACCTTCCTCCTTCGAGGCTTCTCAATTTACATTCAATTATTCGAGGATGGCCAACCATCAACCATCAACCATCAACCGGCAGAGTGGCGGGAATCTTCAATCTTGACTGAGTGCCAAACAGATTTGTGTTTGTCTTAGTTTCTGTTTTTGCCATTTTACTCGTAATAATTTTACAATTTTAATGATTTGCAAATAAAGCAGCGAGACGCGAGACGGGAGAGAGGATGAGAACAATTGTGGCATTTAAGGAAAATCAATGTAATTAAAAGGGCACTTTGGGGAGGGAATGGGATTGGGAATGGGAATTGAAAATGCGAATGCGAATGGAAGGAAGACTCTGACTATAAGTAAAATCAATCAGCGTTTCAAAATGTCAGAGATACAACGGTGAATGCTGACCAAACAGAGAGACAGGGAGAGGGAGAGCCATTGCCATTTCGGCTGCCTACTCCCCTCTCCCTGCTTACACTTCCACTTCCACTCATTCCACCCATTGCGTGGCTCGCGAGTCTCAGCGGAATATGAAAATACATCAAAGTAGCCAAGTCCCACCCCAGCGCCAGTGCTCTCTCTCTCTCTCGCTCTCTCTCTTTCACTGTGTACCAAGCAGCAAGCGAAAAATAAACGCAAGTAAAAATGCTTTTTGAGCGTTAAAATTTTAATAAGCCACTCATTTTAATTTTGATTGTTGCGCTGATCGGAGAGCGGGGAGTGGGCCAAAATGAAGGGGGAAGACGACCTCACTCGAAAAACGATTTCAATTTGGCGAAAAAAGGAAACGACCAGTTGGCAAGTGACAGAGGGAGAAAGAGAGAGAGAGAGAGCGCGAGTTGGCAACACTTTTTATGGCGAAAGAGGAGCAGCAGCCTCAATCCAATTGCAAATTGCAATTACGAGTCTACGAGTCGAGTATAGATTGCAAATTAAATACAAAAATCACAAAATAAATATTTAATATTAATAAAAGTAACAGCAACAGCAACAGCAACACAACCGAAAAGAGATCAACAAAATAAAGAGTTTAACAAAAAGCAAAACGAAAGCAACAAAATGGAAATGTAAGCAATTGAATTTGGGCAAGAAGCTAACACAATGCGACTGTTGGATACCCTCTAAAAACACACACACACACACACACACAAACAGTGCCTGGAGGAATCCCCAAAAGGATGTGCCCAATGCAGGGTATTCCAATTAAAATAATATTCGTAATAAAAATGAATTGAAATGCCAGGGAGGGGACATCATTCACATCAGCATGCAGCTGGCCCCCGGACTGCAACTGGAACGGGGGACTGGACGGGAAACACCAAATAAATTAATTAATAAAAAAGGCAATGGCTATTGGTCGCTTGATTGGGCTGTCATTGGGGAGCGGGAGTGCGGAGCGAGCTGGTGGCTGGTCGTTCAGTGGTTCAGTGGTTTCGGGGTTTCGCTTCGGCCAGCGAGCAGAAGGACCTCGTTTTCGTTTACATCTCTTTGTTTATTATTTAATTTTGATTTAAAAATATTCTGTAAATATTTTATGCACTTTGCAGATGGCCGAGCAGCAAAAAGCAAAACAAAACCAACAAAAGGACACAACGGGGACAGAGCGCGGTGCGCAGAGTGCGTCACTTTTGGGTTCTGTTTTGGTGTCTTTTCTTGAGAGAGAGAGTCCTGCCTCTGCTTGTTTGTTGGGAGGTTTACACCGACCAAAAAAAGTAGTAATTAATGCATATTAATGGGCATTTGTGTTAATTAAATGTGACCTACAACAGTCCACCGCAGTCTGCCCACCTCCCGCGCCACACACTACTTATTTCAGGGCGGGGGCTACCACCAACCTGCCATTTAAAGGCAATTCAATCAAATAATAACACACAAAAAAAGAAACAAAAAAGAAACAAAAACGAAAACGAAAACAAGCAAAAATTGTGATATAAATTTCAGCTTTTCCGCTTTTTCGTGTTCTGCTTTTTGTTGACCAGAAGCAGGACCAGCCAGCATCATCATCATCGGCTTGAATCTCTTTGCATTTCGTTCAATTTTATTAATAATTCAATCAGTCAAAAAATTATTTGAAACGCCCCCAAAGGAAAACAAAAAAGTTTTCCTCAACTGGCGATGCTGGCAGAAGCAGCGACAGAGTGGGGCAGAGTCGCAGTGGCATCGGCAGCGAATGCGCTTGGTCTGGTCTTGGTCTTGGTCTTGGGTTTCCCCTTCCCGCTGGTTAGGTTACTTTTCCTTGATTTCTTCTTTGATTTGTGCGGTGTAAGGAGACAGGGAGAAGAGGCGCAAAGATGAAACGCAGTCGGGTAAAAAGTCGTCACAAGTCGCAACGTGGAACGTGGGAATGTGGGAACATGGCAACGTGGTGGAACACTGCGCTATTTGCACAGCAAATGCAAAGAAAAATCCCCAAGAAGCAGTCAGCGCACTGGGAATATGTCGACTAAAAGATGCCCATTAATTGGATTGCTATAAACAAAACGAGCAATAGGCGGATAGATGTTACATCCAACAAGCACTACAAACATTCATTTTCAATTGTGAATGCAATAAGAAGATTTCTCAGCTATAATTATTAGCTTATTGAAAATTAGTCAGAATTCTTCAACTATTACAATCTGTGTAAGCCAAATACCCGAAGAAGTGCGAGGTATGCGAGCTAAAAAGGAGAGAAAGGAGAGAGAGGAAAAAAAAAATCAAAAACCAAAAGTAAATCAAAACGACAAACAAAACAAAACGAAACGCGACGCATACCCCACTGCCTCTCTCTCTCTCTCTCTCTCTTTCTGCACTCCCTGCCTGTCTTCTCCGTTCCGTTCCGGACTCACGCTCTGCCCCCAGCCAGCCTCCACCCAAAATGAAATAATTCCATTAGTACAATTTCTTTTGCAAGTACAAAGAGTAAATATTGAGGCGGTCTATGCGTGGCGTGGCGAGGCGTGGGCTGTGGATGTGGATGTGCGCTGGAAATGGAGAAGGTATCAGGGGAGTGGGAAAGCAAACGTGCACGTGCATGTGTGGCTATCTTCTTACTGTTCCTCTCTGACCCAATAAATAATACTCCTTCAATTATAGTTGACCGAAAGACCAGATCCAATTGCATCCTTCAGCTGCTCATTTGCATTTGTTTGGGGAAATAATCGTAGCAGTGCGTGGGGATTGTAATGCTCGCAATTAAATTTCGGACCATTTGGTAAATAGTTTTGGCACCCGGCAAATATCAACAGACAGAAATTAACCTGGACTCGCTCTTCCCTGCACTCCCACATCCACTCCTTCGCACTCCCCGAGGAATCTCTGCTGCAGCAGCACAAAATTTCTGCACAAGTTACCAAAAATTTATTTAACTTTCAATTAGACAATTGAAAGCAACAGCCACAAAAGGAGCAACAATAACAACAGGGGGGGGGGGGTTGGGCCATGGGGTTGTAAGTTCCACTGCTGGTTCGTTCTCAGATGAACTGGTTCGGGTTCAAGTAGAGTAATTTTCTCGTCTTAGATAATATCATATCAGAATACCGAATCTCTGGCAAAGCTAGAGTCCATTCATTAAGCAATCCTCCCAGGGAAATCCCAGTTGAATCACTTGTAAATTGGAACTAGTTCTATTAGGAACTATACTATAACTAACTAAAGATACAAAACGTGCACTCTCTCTCTCTCTCTATCTCCCACATTTCCCACTCAATTCCATTGGCACACACAACAAACCGCTGAAAAGTAAAACGAAAAGCCCAAATTCAATCAAATCTGCCATAAAACAACATTCAATTTAGAGATAACGGCATACAAAAAGGAACAGAGAGCGAGAGAGAGAGAGAGCGCAACGATTGGCGTGCGGCCAATTAAAAAATATACGCGAGACTGTACGTACACACAAAAGTACGACGCAGCAGGAGCTGGAGCAGGAGCTGGAGCAGGATCTGGAGCAGGATCTGGAGCGGTAGCAGCAGCAGCAACAGCACTGGACGTAGGACGAAGGACAACCGCTAATTAGCACCATGGGGAATTTGTTGTTGGCAGAGAAGAACTTGCGTAAGCGAAAGCAAAAGCAGTGCCCGCTAGCAGCGGCAGCGGCAGCGGCAGCAACCAACAGAAGATGCTGCCAACTTGTGCAAACATCAAAGAGCAAGCGAATTCAGACGGAGCGATGGCAGCAGCAGGTAGCAAGCAGCAGGCAGCATGTGACTGAGAGGGCGGACAGGAGGGAGCGAAGAATGGATGGAAATGGCCGGGAATTATGGTACGAGCATGCATAAATGACATCCATGACACACACACACACACATGCACGGTGCAAGCTCAACAAAAGAAACAGAGAGAGAGAGAGAGCGAGAGAGAATGGGAAAGAGCAA